GACGAGCCTCTAACAGCTCTCTAGATGAGGAACTGCACTGAGCTCTGTGGACACTTTACTTCAATCATCTTAAACTGTGATTATTGAATAATTCACAGTTTAACATCTTTATCTTTGATCCTGGGTCCTGGTGCAGCTCCTCAGTTCATCTACATTAGGACTCACTGTTCTCCTGCACACTTTGTTCCTCTACAACAACAACAACACAAATCATTGAGTTTTATTTATGGAGACTTTTGGAAATTGTGTGAATATTTTTATTATCTTCATGAGCCTCCTTGTTTCGTCTGTGGTTGAATGTGAATCCAGCATGTAGCTTTACAATAACTGTTGTTAATAAAGGGTAAAATGATGGTTAATTAAACTGTAATAAACATCTATTTTACTGCTGGGAGTGAAGTTTATATACTTAAGATGTTTGATCATTAAAATCTTTGAAAACTGAAAAAACATGATTTGTTTTGTCTGTTCAAAATTTCCATCTGTAAAATTGTAAAAATGAGGTCCTTCATATTCAGTAAAATTAAGATGTGAAATTAAAAGCAAAGGTGAATTTTACCTCTGTGTTGCAGGCAGAGGCAGAGCCAGACATTTTATACACCCGGGCTTAGCCCTAAAGGGTAGTATGCATGTGGGATTGGGGGGAGGGGTGAATGAGATATTTATTAGGCTTTGCTTTCATTAAAAAAAAAAAAAAGAATAGCTTCATATAGGAAAAAATATATCACATATGCAGGACATCTTAAACTCCTTTTTTTAGTTAAGCAGCAAGGCAGAACAAAATCAGGGCTGTATCAAGACGCAGGGACTAAACCCCAATTCAACCAGACCCAGAACTGATTGGGAATTAAAACAGGACTACTTAGGAATTAACCAAGACAGAACCAGAATCAAAACACTCAAAATCATCATAGACCTGCACTACACTTATTTATTAATTCTACCAAAGTCCACTATTTAGATTCAGAAAGGTTTATATAATTATTTAGCCTTGTTGTGCAAACAAGACACATTAACTTAATAAATATAGAATTTGAAAAATAGCAAACCTAAAAAGATACACTAGGTACTGGATACATGTTCTGATGAGTTTTGGCAAACAACCATTTGACTAACGTGTGTCTCACCTGCTCTTGTTCCATCTCTGTTCTGTCCTTATTCTCCATCTCTGTTCCTCTCTCTCCCTCTTTGTGCTGACAATCAAGCCAAACACCAACATCATCAAATATACAGTTGAAACCAGATATTTACAAACTCTTCAGATCAAAACACTTTTTTAATTGTAACATCAAATCAGACTAAATGTTTATTTTTTTAGATTGATAAATATAAAAAACATATTTGTTAACTTTAAGAGTAAAGAGAGAAACTATCTGTATTTCTTAATTGCAAATGGCACCAAATTGTATTCAAATTGAGCCACACTTATGGAGCTCCACAGTTCTTTTTCTGGTGTTTTGGTTGATATCTCTTGATTTTCCCATGCCAAAGAAACAGGCTCTGTGTTTTGCCTTATATGCATCCACAGCTGTGCCACCAGTTTACTCACATGGCCTCTACTAACCTATCAGAAGCTTCTTCAGCTCAGAATGGAATCGTCTGGAGTTTCTTATTAATTAACAATAAACTTAGTGTACATATGCTCCTAAATTTGATGAAAGTGATAAAAATAGAAGCTCTGTCTCTCTTTATTCTGACATTTAACTAATTCAAAAGATATTTCAATATTTATCTAAAACAAAACAAGTTTACTCTAAATTGATGTTTAACAGTAAAAAAAAAAAGTTTTTATGTTTTTCCCTAAAGTGTATGTAAATATCTGGTTTAAACTGTGGATATCCTGCTGTGTATTGAAATTCCTCTTGTTTCGCATAGAAATATACTGAACAACAAAGCATAATATATAAAATACTACCAGAGTTTTTTCTTTGAAAGAAGCTCCTTATGTCACAACGGGACTGAACGGACTCACGCGCAGGCTCTAGGTCTTGAAAGCACAAGAGTCTTTATTATGATACACCAGGTGATTATTTACAAAAGTGAGGGGAAAGCCGGGCTCCGGGGTCCACACACGAACGGGAAAGACGCCGATAGTCACGCACACACACACTCCATCCACTCCTCACGCTCCTCTTCACACTCCAATCACTCGGGTAACACAGGGGTTGGTCCAGGGAATCTGTACACAGAGACACGAAGGGATTGTAAGGTAAATCGCTGTGAAAACACCCTAGAAGTAATTGAGCTGGGGTTACTTCTGACAAAACAACCCGGGTTTAAGCCCAGTAAGCCACCCCCTCCCCCGCTCCGCCACTGGTTGCAGGCATCGATTTCTAAATGTGTTTGTCAAATAGAAATGAGTTTGTTATTGAAAACACTGAAAATCTTTTCTCTGTTAATTTGCCAGTTAAATCAAAGTTAAAGTGAATTACAAAATTACAAATTTTAGTTTTTATTGCAGTTTTAGAAAGTTTTCCAATGTTTTTGGAAATGGGGTTTGTAAAATATAGACTATTATTAATGTCTACATATATTTCCATGTATTCATGTTAGATAGACAGAAGTTCCATAGAAAAAAGCGCTTGTATAAATGTGTATAAAGTGCTTTAAATGCTCAGGTAAAGTAAAAAAGCAATAAGAACCAGTTCATTTACCTTTTAACAATCTTATCATTGTTACATCAGAAAAATGAAACAGAAAAAATGTACATTTTCAGTGTGGCTCTAAATGCAGTTTTACAGCTGACCAAAAAAACTGTCTATAAAGAAGAGGGTTGATAGAAGGTTGAATCAGACCAAACACACAAAATTAAAGCTTAATTTGCAGCCGGTCAGAAGTTTGCTGTTCACTGCTCTTTTTTGTTTTCTGATCTTTATAAATTAATATTTTTAAGATGGAAAATAAAAAAAAATGTCAGGCTGCCAAAGAGCTGTGGAAAAAGAAGCACTTCCTGTTTCATGCTGCAGGAGAGATTTCTCCAAACTAACACTTCTCCATTTTGTCTTCACTTCTATTTTGTGTTGACTCTACACTTCAATGCAGTAAATTTATTTTATATTAAATCTTTATTCATGTGTGTCTTTTGTTTTCTGTCAGTAGCACAAGGTGACCACAGTTATACAAACTCATTATAAAGTGATCATTAGAATTTATCCTAAAATTGAACCAAACTTTGAAGCTCGGCTGATTTTCTTTGCTGGAAAAAAGTCGACAAAGAAGAAAACGTGAAAATTCATTAAGTCTTGTTTCAGGGTGAATTCAACTTTAATTAGGATTTTTCAGCACGTCTTAAGAACAAAGACTGAGCTAACAAATTTTATTTTTAACTCATAAAACAAACTAACATGAATCAGAAGTAAAATCAGTAACGTGACAAACAAACTACATTAAACTCTGCAGATTGTAAATGTCAAATATTATATTCTGACCCCACTGTGGACCAGATTAAACCACTTCCTGTTTGAAAGGGACGTAGTATTTACTCCTCTTTAACTCAATATATTATTCAGACATCTATAAATAAATGAACCTAAAGCACGGTCACCAATGTATGTCTGTATTAATATGTTCATTTAGCTTTGGTCACTTAACTACACCCATCTAAAAATACTGCTTTAAAAGCATCATTTAATGTACAGTACACGATTATCTGATCCTACAGTTTGCAACCTGAACATCCACTCACTGTGAAACTATGCTGCTACTTCAGTGGTTTTTTAACTGACATCAGAAACGACTGTGATTATTTTCCTGTGCTGAGAACTTTTAAGTCTCCCCACCTGCTGAATCCACTTTAACCTGACTGTACACATTTTACTGTTTACAGGCAAAGTCACCCTCTACAATGTGGACAACAGATAACATATATATATATAAAAAAACCCATCATGTTCTACTTCACTGATTCAAACTAAGGATTAACATTTAGACTGAAAGGGTTTGTTAGAAATCCAGAAATTTATGTGTTGGACTAAAAAGTCATTTCTGATGTTTCTGAGTGTTTTTCTCTAATATTCTTATATTTTTAAACAGACTGTAGTGAAGATGATTTCTGAATGAGCTATAAATAAAATGAAGAAATGAGCTGTTGTTGAAGTATCTTTATGACACTGTAATTGTTCCACATTGCAATCAAATCAGTCCTTTATGGTGACTTAAATATCCTCATACGACTGCAATGTTATATTTCTTACAACTTCTCCCGCCATCTTGGCCACATCTCTTTTTAAAAGGACGTTTTTAATATAAATGACACTTTTACCCAGATAAATAAAGGAAATACATCAGTTGCTATCATTCATGAGAGAGATATATTAGAGCAATTTTTGACACATTATAGACAACAAGACCCTTTTAACCCTCATAATGTCCTCCCGATTGCCATACTCTTGTCCTCTGGATCAAAAACGACCCACCTCTTTTCTTTTTTTTTAAGTACATACACCTTTAGTTTTACTTAAAACCATCACATTACCACAAAATCCCCCCTTCATTTTGCGATTAAGGACCACCAGACCTTGTTTACATAAAAATATACCCTGGTTTGTTTGTGTTGTTTTGTTTTCGAGTGAAAATAAAATGTGGGGTCATTTTTGATCCCACAACACGAGGAAGTTGGGCGGAAAATATTTTGACTGAAAGCTAAAACAACCTGCACTTGCAGTTTCCGTATTGATGACGCAAGTTCCTTCAAAATAAAGTTTTGCCTCGTCAGTCAGCAGGAAGTTATCCAAGGCTTTATTTTACTTAACTTTACTCTGAAAGCAGACATCGGTATTATTTCCGGTTAGTCCGGGAATCTTGATTTTCTCGCTTTTCTCCGCCTTCGTCCACTCAGGGACCTCACAGTTCCACCGACGGTTTTGGCAGCAGGTCGCTGACACATCTGCCAACCAGTTCGGGCTTTGGCAACAATTTTAGGGTAAAATCAATTTTTCAGGAACTTTTTTTCTGCGAACTTTAGAAACACTCTGATCTGCGCACCCACAGAAGTACAAGTAATGGACCTGACATCAGCCTGCTGCTCTGTGATTTTCACCTGCCTTCTCTCGGCTGTCTGTTCAAGTGAGTTAAACTGATATTTTGTTTTTTACACTGTAACTACACACTCATAACACACTGCGATCCACTGTAACTGTAACACTGACAACACACTGAGGTGGCAGAGATAGATCAGTGGGGTGCTTGTGTTATGATCGGAAGGTCGGGGCTTCACCGCCCCTGAGGTATCCCTGAGTAAGGTACCGTCTGTACACACTGCTCCCGGGGCGCTCGCTGCTTCACTGACTGAATGTGTTAAATGCAGCGGACTCATTTCCTACTGGATTAATAAAGTACACATTACATTACACTGACAACACACAGTTATACTTGATTACGGTATCACAGCGACTCTTCCACTGCTCTTCTCTCTGTGTAAACTACGTGAGCAGTCTGCTGTCACTGTGAGCAGGACACAAATGTGTGAAACAAACTCCACATCTGTGCTGATGTTCGCTCAGTGTTGTACTTACTCTGAAGAGATTTAAAAGTGCCGCACCGGGGACGGGAAAATGTGACGTCAGAGAAGGGGCGGGGCTTTCCGGAAGCTTCTAAAGCAGAGCAGAGGCCTGGTCCTCTCCCGGTCCTACTTCTTCTAAGTCGTCTGGATATCCTCGTTAAACCTTCTAACAATGCAGAGTTTTCGCTCGGAAGTTGTTTCTACCATCTCTTTAAGGGTTGAGGTAAAACGAAACTTTATAAACTAGAAAATCCGTCAGAAGAAGGAGCGAGTAAACGCAACACTGTCACAAACGAGCCCGAGGTTTTCCTGCTAGTCTTAAAAAGGGTTGTACTTCCTGTCCCAGTGAGCAGGAGGAAACTGTCTGAATCGCTTCACATTTACATGGAAATGATCATTAATGCTGAAGCCGTGTGGGTATCAGTCACGGACCGGCCTCCCCTCGTGTGTTTTTCTATTAAGATCAGGATCATTGCCTGAAAAATGATGATGTTACCGATCAGATTCTTTCATGGTGGATCAAAATCTGATCTTCTCTGTGTTCAGAATTTCATCCATTCAGACAAGATCAACAACACTGACTGACACGCAACTGGCTGAGCAGCAATGCTTTTATTCCTTGTCCTGGATCGCCATCTTGTGGCAGATTTGGGAATTGTTTAGGAAGTATTTTCCTATTTTTGTACATTGAGGTGTCTTAGTATGTTTTTCCTGTCGATGTTTGTTATTAGTTTTTTTTAAACACGTACTATCACGTTGAACATAAAGTAAAGTTAACCTCTTGCAGCCTCTTCTGCAGCACAATCCAGCGTTACACAAACGTGCAGCACTGTGTACAGTCCGCCCTACAGGGCCGACTCCACAGCACACAAACCAGGCTGTGGCCCCGCCGTCTTTACTCTCTTCACCAGCTCTATAACCAGGGCTGAAACACGACCTCCCACGCTGTGTGTCCGTGTTTACCACAACACGCAGAGACTCTAAAATGTACCGAACGAGCTGCTTTGCTTTGTATTATCCATTAACAAGTTTGAGGAAAAAACATCAGCGTGGAGTCATGGATAGCCTTGGACCTTGAAATATAATTTGGACTTTAATGTGGAAATTTCGATGTTGTTCTCAAAAAATCTTTCTTGTATTAATGTTGCCCTGAGACTCTTTGATAGGAGTGACAGAGAGTCACTGATCTTCACTCTGCTTGGCTGCTGTACAAGAGACTAGTTGCATTTTAACCTTTAACCTCTCTGATCTGTGCTGTTTCTTCTTTCAGTCCAGAAAGAAATCCCAGCTGTGTCTGGACAGAACATCACTGTGACGTGTCGAGCTCCAAACAACAACACAATCACAGCTGTAGAGTGTAGCAGACCTGACCTGGGAAATAAATATGTGTTTTTGTATCGGCAAAAGCGCATTGATACCAATAACCAGCAAAATAACCATTATTTTAATGACATTTAAATCATGACTGAAAACGAGTATGAAAATTGTTAACGCGTGTTATCCATTTGAAAGCAAATTAAAATGAAAACCAGCGCAAAACATCGAACTAAAATAATAACGCTGTGAAAAAAACAACAATTGTTTAAGGTTACGCTGACACGGTCCTGAAATTCTGCTGGACTCATATGTTTCATGTTTCTCTTTGAGTGTTTTTGGATGGAGCCCATCACAATAATCACTGTTCTAGAAATGAAAAGTTGCATTTTAACCTTCGTGACTTCTCTTCTCTGTGTTGTTTCCTCTTTCAGCCCAGAAAAACATCACAGCTGAGTCTGGACAGGACATCATTCTGACATGTCGAGCTCCAAACAGCAACATCACAGTTTTAGACTGGAGCAGACCAGACTTGAAAGATAGCTGTGTCCTTTTTTATGAGAAAAAATTTAATACCACCAACCAGCATCCATCTTTTAAGAACCGGGTGGATCTGCAGGACAGACAGATGAAGGATGGAGACGTGTCTCTGATTCTGAAGAACGTGACGGTTAATGACGCTGGAACATACGAGTGTGGTGTCATCCAGAAACGTACAGATGGTTTGAAGCTCCTCTGCAGCATCACCCTGAGTGTTGTTGATCCTCCAGGTGAGTGAGTAGAGTTGAGTGTGTGTGTGATCAGAGGTGAAGCTGCTTCCTGGTTGTTGATGTTTGTTTCTAAAGATGTTGTTGATGAGACTTTGTAGAAAGCAGCTGGTCTGAGTGATGTGATCAGAGTGCAGTAGATAATGTCTGACAGCAGTTTGAAGAGGAAATGGATTCTGTTCTGTTCTTCACTCATCACCTACCTGACAGCTGACACCTCACACCTGTTTCTCACCTGCAGGTCAGACAGGAGGACACACAGAGGATGGAGGGAAGGAGGATGGAGTCAACAAGCATTATGGGCTGATACCTTCTGGGTTGTTACTTCTTGTCCTCCTTGTTGCTCTCGTGATCGCTTCAAAATTGCCAAACAGAAATTCATCCAATCATCTTCCTTCTGATGAACCAGCTGACATCTGTTCTGAAATCAGAGTGTCAGCAGGATGAAAACAGCAGCCTGGTACAACATCAAGTCTTACATGGTACTTATGGAGCCTTTTTACTGTTTGGACCCTCAAAGCACTTTGTTACTACACCACTCAAGATGGCGGCGCACACTGTTGCAGCAGCTTGCAGCTCTCCGTCTCAGTACTCTTTTCTTTTCTTTAGTTGCTTAGTTTGTACATCCTTCTCATTTCTTTTTGCACTATCGGTTTCTATCGGTAAACACGGAGCTCTCTATGCTACTGAACACCATCAACAGCAGCGGGACGGTGTTCACGTAACTGCAGGTGATTTTAATAAGGCCAGCATGAAGACTACTCCCAAAGATCCATCAGCATGTGAAATGTCCCACCAGGGGAGAGATCACTCTACATCATGTTTACTCCAACATGGAGCCATACCCCTCTCCCACTACGACCAGTCGGACCACCTCTCCCTCCTGCTCTCCCCAGCCTACTCCCCCCTCAGACGCAGTGCCAGGCCCACCACAAAGACTGTTACAGCCTGGCCTGAAAGCTACAGGACTGCTTCACACAGACAGACTGGGACATATTTGAACACCAGGAGCTAAAACCTTTCACAGGATGAGCACTGGACTATATCAAGTTCTGTATTGCAAATGTGACTGTGGACAAAAGCATTCGGGTTTTCCCAACATGTTCAGCCTGCTTCCTCAGGGATGCTACAGGTGCATCAGTACAAAAACCCACAGACTCAAACAGTTTCTTCCCTAAAGCCATAACCACCCTGAACTCACACATGCACCAATAACAGTTACACCACTGTGCAATCCCAAATTCTATTTATTTACTGTTGTTACACCAGATTGTATATTTGTACATTTTATATATTTGTTCCTGTTAATACTGTTTATATCTTAAAAGAACCCCCCCCCCCCCCCCCCCCCCCCCCCCCACACACACACACACACACACACACACACACACACACACACACACACACACACACACATGTTCGCACTGGGTCGGAGATGCTCTGTATCATTGTACAGCAACTGTATAGTGACAATGAATGAATCTATTCTCTTCTTATTCTCACATTTCTACTTGTTTCTTTTACCTGACATTCTCACACTCAGGGTTTGGTATCTTGTCCTTTAAAACTATAGAAGCCAGGAATCAAAGCACTGCTGCCTGCACCACCCGAGCAAAGCTGGCCACAGGACAAGTTTAAACAAAAAAAACAAACAAAAAACCCCACCCACAGATGAGGCAGCATGTGAAAGTCATGTCCTTAAGAAATGGGAAGAAATTCAGCAAACTCCTGAAACAGGACCTGGGAGATGTATCTGGACCTTCAGCTGATCTTTATCCTTCATCTTGGTTCTTGGTGCAGCACCTTAGTTCATCCTGAACATAAAACTAAAGCAAAGTGTTCTCGCCTCATTGTGAAACTCTACAGAGGCACTGTTAGATTTTCATGGTAGTCAAAGGAGCTTGCAAAGAAAAGCGTCTGGACTTCTTTAAGTTGCTTGAAGACGTTTCACCTCTCATCCGAGAAGCTTCTTCAGTTCTAAGGTCAAATGGTGGAGAGTCCCAGATCTTTCCAAGCTCCTTGACTACGATGACCTGGATGACTGAGAAGCTTCACAGACATTTTCATTGTAAGTCAACATGACCACAGCATTAGATCCAGATCAGGTCTTTGCTTCACAGACAGTCATCTGATCGTATCGAGGATATTTGGTTGTTTGGAGGTATTTCAGCTGAACGTCACTGACAACTTAGGACCACTGAGGTGTTTCAGAGTTCATCTACATTAGGACTCACTGTTCACCTGCACTCTCTGTTCCTCTATACTAGTATCAACACAAATCATCATGTTTTAGTTACTGAGACTTTTGGAAAGAGTGTGAACATTTCTACGATTGTAGCCTTTTTCAGGATATAGCTTTTTAATAACTGTTGTTAATAAAGGGTAAATATTTATTTTGCTGTTGGGATTAAAATGATTGTCTTCCAGATGTTTTGTGATTAAAATCTTTGGGAGCTGTAAAATTAAACATTTTCATGTGTGTT